TAAACCATTGGTGAAACTTCCCCAGTGCTAGGTTACACATGAGTGCTACTGAATAACAGGTCCTGGGGAAAAGTACAACAGAACCAGAGAACAGAATGTCTCAGCTCGGAGCATACTGAGGTTTCCAGTAACCGAAGCTGGAATCAGAGTCCTGCCTTCCATGGAAGTTGATTCTGAAGACCATGTTCCAGGTTTTCATGACCTCAGTTCCAGTTACCCATTTGGAAGAACAGAAGTATAAAGACCCCTGTTCCAGAAGGATAGATCTGGGTCCTAATCCTACTCACATATTGAAGAGGTGAATAATTTCATCAACGGATGGTTGAGGGAACTAAAAATATTTAGACTGAAGTCTTAGAAAAAATGGCAACTATCTTCAAAGCAGTGGATAGTTATCACATGGAAGAGCCCTGGGAAACAGGCCACAGACAGCACTATGTGAAGTTACAGAGGCAAGTTATACCTTGATTTAGGAAGAACATTCCAGCCATCAGAGAGGTCCGTCCCTGCAGTGGACTGCCTCCTGAGGAAGCTCCACTATCACCAGAAGCTGGGTAGCACTGTATCAAATATTAAAGGGCCCTCAGTCATCAGGAGAGAGTTGGACCGGATCATCTGTTTGATCCTTCTAACCCAGAGCTCCTGATTCCACGGGGCTCTTTGCACCAGTTTTGGCTTGTTTTCGTTTATTTTTATTAGAGCATGTTCCCCAAATTAGTGTGTAGCTCAAAAACACCAAACAACAACAAAACCCCCGCCACCGTTTGATTCAGTGAACTGCCCCTGGAAATTGCCTGTCTCCATTACTGGAGCTGTGTTCTGCCCGCACATGCCGGCTCAGGAGCTGCTGCCCTCTTGTGGAGAAGCCGAACACAGCTGCTTAGAAAGCAAGCAAGATGCATTTGGAGATTATTGTCTATGCACGACCCGATCTTTCCTTCTCCCAACCTCTTCACTTTTTGCAGTGACCCCTGAAGCTCTTGACCCTATGTCATCAGGGCCTCTTGTTTACATTCACAAAACAACTGTCCCTTAAAATACTGTACTTTTAGCCACAATATAAAGTCCTGGTTTCCACAGAGTGGTTGGAATTTGCACCTGCCTATTTCAAGTTACGGAGTGAACTTGGATGTTAACACAATGCTATGGAAGAGCACTAGATCAGGTTTAAAGGCCTAGGTTCTAGCTCATGTTCTGCCATTCCTTCACTGTGAACAAGTCACAAATTTATTACATTTATTAAAAACTCTGCCCTGCTGTCGTGGCTCAGTGGTTGAGGGTCGACCCATGAACGGGGTTGCTGGCTCGATCCCCAGTAGGGCGTGCAGGAGGCAGCCAATCAATGACTCTCATCGATGTTTGTGTTTCTCTTTCTCTCTCTCCCCCTTCCTCTCTGAAATCAATAAAAACATATTTAAATAATAATAAAATAAAATAAGCTCTGGAGTTTGGAGACGAGATCCTCTAGAGTAAGTGGTCTGTCCTATGCGTACTACTTGCAGCTGCTCTTCACAGCAAATGGCTGTGTTCTATTCTCGTCTAGGGACCCTCAAAGGAGACTGGCCAACCCCAGATCTTGTTTATCTGTGCCTTTCACCTCAGGGACTGCCACTGGCAGAAGTCTTTCTTTTCTCTTAAAAAGGAACTGTGATGGACTGATCAGAGAGGAACCAACAATTCCTAGGTTGCTCAGGTGCCTGAAAACATTGGCCAAGTTTTCCAGACAGGTTTTGCCATTCTTGCTGAGAATACAAAGCCCTGTGACTGATTAGTCACTGGAAGTGATCTGTCATTGTTTCTCAACGTCAGTCACCAGCTCACTGTTGCCACAGCAGGGTTTCATATGGGGAGGGCAGCTGAGGACACCATAGAGTTAGAGTGCTAGGGAGGTAGGTGTTCAAACACCAAACTGGAAAATGGTTTGGAATAAAATCACAGTTGGTAGTTGAGTGAGAAACATGACTTTTATTTTGTGTTATGAACTTTCAAGACACTTTAATGAGAGTCACGGAAACAGAGAATAAAGATTAACCAGGAAACTAGTGATTGTGGAAACTCTTGGGCATCATGAAGGGCACCATAAACAATATCTTAGCCTGGAAGAATAGACCTATAATTATATAAACTATGGCTGAGATCATGTAGTGATCTCAAGGAATGTAAGGGGCAGGGAAAAGCAATTTCCAATGTAGAATGTAAGAGATGCAGCTCCTTCAGGGCAGAGCTGTAACTACCTGCCTCAGTTAGAGTTCCCATTTCCAGGAACTAAACAGTCCCCCACACTAAACAGAGTACAAAGAGTATTTTGCATTAAATATTAACTTTATACTACATCAGTATATTCAGGACATCTCTCCATATTGAAATATATATTACCTATTTCAATCTTTATAATGACTCCATAATATGCCTTTGTAATAATTTACTATAATTTATCTAATTAATCCTATTAATGGGCATCTGAGTTGTTTCCAGTTTTCTATATTACAAACAATACTGTAATAAAGCCCTTAGAAAATGCTATATTTACACTTCTATTCAGTTTTTACATAAAAGTATTGAATTCCTCTATTTTTCTTTCACTTTTTTCAATTACAGTGACATTTGGTATTACTTTTTATTAGTTTCAGATGTACAACATAGTAGTTAGAAATTTATATAATTTACAAAGTGATCCCCCAATAAGTCTACCCACCTGGTACCATATATAGTTATTACATTATTGACTATATTCCCTATGTTATACTTTATATCCCCATGACTACTGTGTAACTACCAATCTGTACTTAATCCCTTCACCTTTTACACCCAGTCCCCCACCCCCTCCCATCTTGCAATCATATGGTATTTGTCTTTCTCTGTCAGACTTATTTCACTTAGTATAACACTCTCTAGGTCCATCCATGTTATCCCAAAAGATAAGATTTCATTCTTTTTTTTATGGCTAAGCAATAATCCATTATATATATGTACCACCCCTTCTTTATCCAATCATTTATTGATGGGCACTTACATTGCTTCCTATCTTTGCAATTGTAAACAATGTTGCAATGAACACAGGAATGCATGTTATCTTTTTGAATTAATGGTCTGGGTTCCTTAGGACAAATACCTAGTGGGTTGCTGGGTCATATGATAGTTCTATTTTTAATCTTTCGTGAACCCTCTGTACTGCTTTCCACAGTAGCTGCACCAGTCTGCATTCCCACCAACAGTGCACAAAGGTTCCCTTTTCTCCACATCCTCAAGAACACTTGTTGATTTATTGATAACCATTCTGACAAGTGGGTATCTCATGGTTTTAATTTGCATCTCTCTGATGATTAGTGATGTTGAACATCTTTTCATATGTCTATTGACCATCTGTATGTCCTCTTTGGAGAAATATTTATTCAGGTCCTCTGCCCACTTTTTAATTGGATTGTTTTGGGGCTTTTTGGTGTTAAGCTGTATGAGTTCTTTATAAAATTTGGATATTAATTGCTTATCGGATGTATCATTGGCAAATATCTTCTCTCAATTAATGGTTGTCTTTTCGTTTTGTTGATGGTTTCCTTTGCTGTGCAAAAACCTTTTAGTTTGATGTAATCCCATTAATTTTTTTCTTTTATTTCCCTTGCCCAAGGAGATATATCAGAAAAAAATATTACTAAGCAATGTCAGAGAGTTTACTGCCAATTTTTTCTTCTAGGAGTTTTACGGTTTCAGATCTTACATTTTAAGTCTTTAATCCACTTTGAGTTTATTCTTGTATATGGTTTAAGAACATGGTCTAGTTTCAGTCTTCTGCATGTATCTGCTGTTTTCCCATAACCATTTGTTGAATAGTGTCTTCACCCCTTTGTATATTCTTGCCTCCTTTGTCACAGATCAACTAATCATATATATAGGTGGGGGTTTATTTCTGGGCTCCCTATTCCATTCCATTGATCTCTGTGCATGTTTTTATGCCAGTGCCATGCCATTTTGATTACTATGGCCTTGTAGTATAGTTTGATACCTTCACCTTCGTTATTCTTTGTCAAGATTGCTGTAGCTATTCAGTGTCATTTGTGGATACAAATAAATTACAGGATCATTTGTTCTAGTTCTGTGAAAAATGCCATTGGTATTTTTATAGGGACTGCATTGAATCTATAAATTACTTTGGGTAGTATGGACATTTTAACAGTGTTAATTCTTTCTATCCATGAGCACGGGAGGTAATATGCTTCCATTTATTTTTATCTTCTTCAATTTCTTCCTTCAATGTTTTTTTTAAATGTTTTTTACTAATTTTTTAGAGAGAGGGACGAAGATGGAGAGATAGAAACATCAATGAGAGAAAAACATCAATTGGCTGCCTCCAGCACGCCCCCTGCCAAGGATCAAACCTGCAACCCAAGCATGTGCTCTGACCGAGAATCGAACTGGTGACCTCTTGGTTCATGGGTCAATGCTCAACCACTGAGCTACATCAGCCAGGCTCCTTCAATGTCTTATAATTTTCTGAGTACAGGTCTTTTACTTCCTTGGTTAAATTTATTTCTAGATATATTATTCTTTTTGATTCAGTTATAAATGGGTTTTCTTAATTTATCTTTCTGATAGTTATTGGTGTATAACAATGTAACTGATACCTGAATATTTGTTTGTATTGTGCTACTTTACCAAATTCATTTACCAGTTCTAATAAATAGGGTTTTTTGGTGGAATCTTTAGGGTTCTCTATATATAGTATCATATGACTTTCATTTTTAAAATGCGTTTCTTTGTACTTAGGTTTCTCACAAAAGATAATTTTCTTTCAAGAACTGACATGCTAAGCTTTTGTTGTCTCTAAATGGCATTTTTAGTTTAGTGTGGTGAACAATTCTCTGTTGTCCCCTAATATTGGATTAAGCTAACTCTCCCTTACTAGTATAATGGAAAATTTCAAAAGCAGACAATGTTTTGTTGACCTCAGATACCTTGCATCATCCACACCTGCTAAAAAGAAAACATCCTAGTGAGGCATTTACTACATTAGTCTTAAAACATTTTTTTATTTACAGGGACTCTCACAAACTGAAGTGACAGTCAACTGCCAGCAACACGTTTCATGAGTCATGTCGTTCGCCTGAACTTGGAAGATACTTTTTCTCCTTCCAAATACTTTAAGCCAACTGAAGTGAAAATTTTTTTCTTTTTAAAAAATTTGATCACAGTGAGGGTTCATATTAAAGCATAATTTTAATGGGTCTTTTAATTAACTTTTATTACTGGTACAAAAAGATACACTAAGAAAAGTTTTCACTAAAACATAAGTAACAAACTAATAAGATACTACTTAACCAACTAATCCTAAGCGTTATGTAAAAGTAGTAAGTCAATCTGCCTTAATAAAGGTTTAATAGAAGTAGCCTACTCTGAGCACCTACCATGGACCAGATGCTGTTCTAGTGTTTTATAGACAGTCTTTAGTCCTTGGAATAACCCTAAAAGGAACATAAGCAAACAGACCCAAACTTGTCAAATTACTAAGCAAGGCTATATGGTTAGTGGCAGCACCAGGATTAGAACACAGGCCTGGCCAGTTCTTGCCATGATTGAGCCCTTTCCTCTACATCTCCAACTGCCTTGCTGAAGATAAGAGACAGGATGCCGCCCCAATGCCATACCCTGGTGCTTTACCCAAGGTGTTTCCTTGATATACTGGACCTCTTTTTAAAATTTTATTTGAAGCAAGCTTTGACTTGCTTCAATGTGTATTTCATTTTCTACTTATCACCCACTTTCATTTCTGGCAGATGGGTTCTAGAGGTCCTGAAAATGTCTGTAACAAAGAACTCTATAGAACACCTGCAGTAACTCTCAACACTGGATCAAACTACAGTATGCTGGAAGAGATATCACTGAACAGGGCAGCCTGAAACAGAGGGTACACAACCTGGGCCATGTTCCTTACAACCCAAAGGTTTCGTTCACAATGCTGTTTATGGTGTTCTAAACTGTGAGTCAAAGAGGTGCATTATTATATATATTTGCTTGTTGCTATGATTTTTCTGATTAGAAGATATAAGCCACTTTAGGTCACTTCCATTTAATTTAATATTTATTTTCATTTTATATCCAGATGTCACATTTTCTACATTAAAATATAATCATGCTGACTCCCCACACACACACCCTCTAAGAAAAAAGTGAAGAACTTTACACAACTTGAAAGATGGAATGCACAGAGAAGTTGCTATTGCACCCAAGTAACAAAGAACACAGAGACCACACAGTAGACATGGCAGAGTGCATAGAAGACAGCTCAGGGCTCACAGCAGGAAGGAGCAGGAATTAAAAGGCTAAAGCTTTTAAATTCTATCACTTGTGCCACAAGATTACCCTGAAGAGGCAAAGATAGGTCAAAAAGCAGGACCAAATAAGAGTGTTTTCCAAAGGCTGCTCTCTAACAGTTTAAAATGTCCATACACAGGAGAATTTTTCCTCCCACCGTGCCTTCAGCATCTGGCAAACACTTTAGAAAATTACACCACTGTTAGCATGTCCAAATGTAGAATGGGAGTAGGTTTTTCTTCTCTTTTTTAAATTGTACCCCAAACTCTTTCCAAGCAACAATTATACTGATCATTTTAATTATGATTCCTCTGCATGAAAACCCAGAAAGGATCATCAAGACAAGGCATCTCACTACTATCCAATCAACACCAGCTGTGCAAAAGCTGCATGATTGTGTGTTACTCAGAGGGAGGGAGAACAGTAAGACACAGGAGTCTCAACTCCTTTTCTAATCTATTCATTAAACAGGAAAGAGCAGGTGGACAGTAAAAACCATCTGCTTAGAGCAGCAGCACAGAGCTAGAGGTACACTAACAATCCAAAAACAAATGCTCAGGAGAGAGCTCTTGGCTCTTCTGAGGAGGCTTTCAGCCCTGATCCTGCCCCTAATTTGGAGAACAAAGCATTATAACTTCAGATAGTGATACTCTCGAGAGGGTGGAGAGGGAAGGTCTGAGAGACTCAAATAATGAAGACATTATTAGGCAACTAACTACCCCACTATTTACAAATACACACATGAGTAAGAAAACTTCACCTCCATCCCTGAAGCTACTTTAAATAAACCACTGAAGATCCAGGTTTTCTGAACAGGGGACATTTTAAAGTCTGTTAGCAGTTTAAGATATTGCAACACTGGCACAATATGTCACCTATTCTTTGTTTTTAATTGCAGGGTAACACGGTAAATGCCAACACAAAGGTGGGGATGGAGGAGTGCAAAGGAATCAAGAAAACAGAACCAGTATTACACGAGAGTATCGAACCAGCGATGAGATGGCAATTAGTGCTTTGCGGAGTCCCGAGGGTAGAACTCGCTCAGGGTGCTCTGAGGGATTCTCTTCAGCATTTCTTTGGGGAAAATTCGGAGCAGCTGCCAGCCAATGTCCAAAGTCTCATAGACAGTGCGGTTTTCGTAAGGACCTTATAAAAAATTGAGATCAGATGAATAAAGGCAAGCGACTTCCAACTTATCAGGTTATTCAGGGTGAATTCTGTTATATGACCAGCACTGTGAACATGGAGTATATAAAAGGAAATAGAGCAGTTAGTTCTCCCCAAACTGGATGTGATTAATTGTGGAAATGAGGGCACAGATAATAAGCACCATTGCAAATCAGAGGAAAGGGAGAGGCCTGTGGGCTAGAGACAGCAGGCAGGCAGTCTATTGTGCAATGGAAACCAAACCCAGTGTTGTGTCCAGAAAGTAGTGAGAAAAAGTTTCCCAGGAACAGAGGCTGAATTTGACAGATAGTTAAAAGCCTGAAAGGCCAACTGAGCATCTGAATAGATCAGTGGTTTTCAATGTTGTTGCTATTTTTTTAATAGCAGAAATAAACCTTATCATGCAAATAAATCTCATTTCTTAACTAAGGAATCAGAGTGGCCGAAGTTCCGGATTCTTTTCTTTACCAGAAGAATTGCATTTTTACCTTTTAAAGTACGAAGGTCTGCATTAAAAAAAAAACACTCATATATATTTGGGGGATTTTAATGTTAATAAAAAAATGCATCATGTAAATAGAAAAGTGCACAAATCCTAAGTGTGTAGTTTTATGCATTACTACAAAATAAACACATCTAAGTACCACTGAGGTCAGGAAGAGTATTAGCAGCATTAGTAGGAGTGGCAGGAGAGAAACCAAACCAAGCAGCTTGAAAACCCTACACAGGCTATGAAATAAAAACTATTTTGGACAATCAATAAAATTTACTCTGGAAATTGTATATAGGGAATCAGGGAGAATGGTGAAAAAACTAGCATTAACAGCCAGGGACAATGAAACCAAAGGTGTAGATTTGGTCTTAAGACTCAAAGTGTGGTCCAACTCAAAGAGTGACCAGAGATCAGTAGCTTCAACATCACCCAGGAACTTAGGAACAATGCCCCATTCCTGAGCTTGAGCTAACCAAGACAATGGTCACGCCAGAGGTAGACAGAAGCTGAAGAGGGAATTGCTAGGCAGGTGGTCAGTTGGGAAAAAACTTTTGTTCTGACCATGCCAAGCCTTAGGGATGGTGGCATAAACAAAGGTGTCCCAGTTGAAAATGTGGGATTCAGGCTTCAGAAAGAGGGTAAGGATCATACATGGTAATTCAGTCAACCTATAGGGAAAAAGCTAAAGCTTGGGGGGTAAGGGGATGGGGGAAGCACAGGCAACTAAGTCCCTAGGAACATAAACAATTAAGAAGCAGGAAGATGTATCAAAAAAGGAGATGAAAACAGATGGGTCAGAAAAGTCCCAAACTCCCAAAGCCAGAGGAGATGGTTGCAGAGAAGTTAGGAGGAAGGGGACATGGCAACGAAAGCCAGTTGTAAGGAAGGGAGAAAATAAGGTGGGAGCTAAATAACTGGATAATGGAGTTGAAAGCAGAGGGGAAGGCACCAGAGCACTAAGAACAAAGACATGACAGAGTTGAAGGACCTTTTTCTCTAATCAGAAGGAAAATTATATAGAGACCAGTGTAAAATCTCTTAGATTGGGAAAGAGGTCTTTAAAACTATATATGAGGCTTTTATATTTGTAAAAAAACAGTCATCTTACCCTGAGCAATAAAGTTCCTCTCAAACTTCTGTAGAAATTCCAAGTAAAGAAGATCATCTGAGGTAAGGGCTTCTTCTCCAACCACAGCTTTCATGGCTTGTACATCCTTACCAATAGCATAGCACGCATACTAAAGAGAAAAACGGTTTACATAAACAGAGAGAAGACTGTATATATGTTAATAGTAATCTGGGCTACTAGCAATAAGTGTATTGCTTTAGCTATCTTCATAAGAGACCACAGAAAGAATTTCACGTTATTTACAAACACAATTCACATAAATAAAACTCATGAAATACACTTCCTCAATGTGTCAATGAGCTTACACTTTATAGAACATTTGAAAATCAGAACTCAGCCCGGCTGGTATGGCTCAGTGGTTGAGCATCAACCTATGAACCAAGAGGTCACGGTTCAATTCCCAGTTGGGGCACATGTCCAGGTTTTGGGCTCAATCCCCATAGGGGGCATGCAGGAAGCAGCTGATCAATGACTCTCTCATAATTAGTGTTTCTATCTCTCTCTCTCCCTTCCTCTCTCTGAAATCAATAAAAACATATAAAAAATTTTAAAAAAAGAAAATCAGAATTCGTACCATGGAATAATCCATCTTGAAGTTCTATTCAAGAAAAATACTTGTGCTATCAGGTGTACCGTTTCTACTTTAAGGTTAAAAGTATTTTTCTTTATTTGTACGTGCTATACAGTCTCATATGACTATGGAAACCAAGGATTTCACAGAATATATAAAGCTATATCCCTTAGTATTCCAGTGGTTGCTTAATATGTTAAGCAAGAAATGTTAGAGTATCCTTTCAGGAATACTCCATAATTATTATTGTTGTTATTAATAAAAACTTATAATAGCCTTATGGCTTGGATTTTTATTTAGAAGCTACTTTACATAAGATTAAATAAAGTTTCAAGCATATGATTTAAAAAAATTTTTTTATATCTCTATTGATTTCAGAGAGAGGGAGGGGATAGACAGAAACATCAATGATGAGTCATTGATCGGCTGCCTCCTGCAGACACCCACTGGGGATTGAGCCTGCAACCCAGGCATGTGCCCTGACAGGGAAATGAACCTTGATCTCCAGGATCATACATAGGTCAATGCTCAACCACTGAACTACACTGGTCAGGCAAGCATATGATTTTTAATCTTGGTTATCAGCACCCATCCTTATGAAAAAAAAAAAAGACTGCTTGGTTCTAATGAATATTTTTTTGTTTTTGTTTTTAAAGTGTATCTTTATTGATTTCAGAGAGAAGGAGAGGGAGAGATAGAAACATCAATGATGAGAGAGTCATTGATTGGCTGCCTCCTGCACGCCCCCGACAGGGCATCGAGCCTGAAACCCGGAAGGAGAAAAATGCACCCTGACCGGAATTAAACCGCAATCTCCCAGATCCTAGGTCGACACTCAAGAGCTGAGCTACACCCAGCCAGGCTCTAATGAATGTTTTTATATTTCACATGAAGCTTATATTAAAATTCTATGTGGACAGGGAAAAGAAAAGTGATATGGGAGAAAGACAAGAAGTATAAGACAGCAGAAAAAATGGACCAAGAAAGGCATTTACTTCTTTAAATGCCATCCTTAAGATGATATACATACCAGCTGGTTAGATACATCGGCATGATCCTTTCTGGTCATACCTTCCCCAATAGCAGACTTCATTAACCGTGATAACGAAGGTAGCACATTAATAGGAGGGTAAATCTTGGGAATGGAAGGAGAAAAATATTATATTTAAGTACAAAATTTAAGCTTTACTGGTAGTAAAGAAGCAGTTCAAAACTCATTATTATCCCTTTAGTTACTCTTCTATTCTCTATATCCATGAGATCGGGGATTTTTTTGTTTTTAGATTCCACATATAAGTGAGATGATATGGTATTTATCTTTTTCTGTTTGACTTACTGCTGCAGTTGTTTCCTAGATGAGTTTTAACATGTTTTCCCGGTATGAAACTCTTTATGACATAATATTTCTTTTGAGAATCAAATCCAAAAAGTGAAACCTATACAACAATAGTACAAGATTATATATTGAATAACTGAATTTTCGGTATCTGCCTACACTATCAAATCTAAGTGGTCTTCTGAACTCTGACTCATTATGATATACAAAATAAAAAGATTAACAGTAATTCCACCAAAAAGGTGATCTAGTAGAGAAACATCAAAAATTTGTTTTTGATGATTCACCCATAAAAAAAATAAAATCTTGTCATTTCGACAACATGGATGGACCTTGAGGGCATTATGCTAAGTGAAATAAGTCAAACAGAAAAAGATAAATATCACATGGTTTCACTTATATGTGGAATCTAAAAACAAAAAAAACCCCGAGCTCATGGATATAGAGAACAGACTGGTGGTTGCCTGAGGCAGGGAGTGGGTAGACATAATGAAGGGGGTCAAAAGGTACAGATTTCCAGTTACAAAATGAACAAGTCACAGGGATGTAATGTACAGCATGATGAACATAGTTAACAAAACTGCACTGCATATTATATCTGAAAGTAGCTAGGAGAGTGGACCTTAAAATTTCTCATCACAAGAAAATAAATTTTTACCTATGGTGATGGATGTTAACTGGACTTACGGTGATCACCTTGCAACATACACAAATATTGAATCATTACGCTGTACACTTGAAACTAATAGATTAATTATCCCTCAATAAAAAAACAGAAAAAATTTTGTTTTTGTATTACTAACAAGATTGGTAGGTTAGACTATTATGGAATAGAATACCCAAAAAAGTTCCTTAAGACAACTGATTCTATTTTAAGGCACAATAAAGAAAAGTGGAAATTTAATTCTTAATTCTAGCACTCTTATCCACACCAGGATTTTGTAGTTGTCACTGATCGGTTCTGTGACTTTAAGTGAAATGATATATAACAAAACCACTTTTACCACAGGCTGATTGATATAAAAGAGTTAAGTGCCTACGGCATCTCATCAACTTTAGGACAAAATGACACTGAGTTAAACAATGATCTTCGATGATCTACTGTACAAAGAAATGACAAGTTTACAGCCATGTCAAAATCAATTTGCTATTCTCCAAAAAAAAATAAAATAAAATAATCCCTAAGAGCACAGTCCAAGTCACTGAAGAGTAACTAAAGAGTAGATTTGTAAGCTTTACGGTGCCGCTCAAATGTCAAATACCTGTCTGTTGTGTAGCTGTCTGTCCACATAGATCTGCCCCTCTGTGATATATCCAGTCAAGTCAGGGATGGGGTGAGTAATATCTACCAGCGGAAGACATGTGATGTTAGTTAAAGTGTCCATTTCATATAAACAAACCCACAGGATGTCAATCTGTATTACCTACAGCATTACCTAAAACTGTACTATATAACATCATTTTCTGTGATGATGGGAAAGTTCTGTATCTGTGTTATACAATATGGTAGCCACTATGGCTACTGAGCACCAAAAAATGTGGATAATGTAACTGGAAAACTTTACGGTATTTCAAATTTATCTAATTTTAAACTTTAGAATTTAAGTAGCCAAATGTGGCTAGAAGTTACCATATTGAACAGTATTTGGTTGTAGCATAGGTAGATATGTCTTGGCACATGAGGTAAATTAGCTGCATTCATAAAAAGTACTATTTCTTCTAGTTATGTGATCTCTCCCTCAAATATAAAAAAAAAATTCCATTTTAAATACCAAGTCCCCTTACAGGGACTGCTAATGGGATATATACTGCGAGAATATTCTTAACTCACAAATTATTTCAACATGGAAAATACAGAGATGCTAGACAAGTAAAGTGACACAATGCAGGCAATGCCAAAAAGGTCACACAAGTCAAGACATTTCTAAGTCTGCTAAATTACAAATAGTAATTTGTAGCTACTTCCTTAGAACAAATAATTTTCATGTCAGAGGCAGTATGGTATACCAGTTAGTGTGAATTATGAATTCAGACTGCCGGGGTTCTAAAGCTATCACTTCCTAACCTTGACAGATCCCTTTACCTCCCTGTGCCTCAGATCTCGAAGTTGCTATGAAAATCAAATGAGTCAATATTTACAAAGCACTCAAAACATCCTCGATTATAGTGAGTTATCACTGTTTCTGAAATATCTGCTAAAAGTGCCTTTAAAAACCAAGATAAGGACTAAAAGGCTGAGTCTCTGCTCCAGGGCCACCCTGAGCATCCACTAGACAGGCACTGCACTGTGTGCTTTCACACATAGTAAAGGAAACTAATTTTTAACGAGCCTTTGGTGATCATCTGTCTCTAAAGTCTTGTGGCATTTATTATTTGTGCTTTTCATTTGACACTTAAGCTACCTTAAATTATTTCTGCACATACATATAATATCCAATTAGACTGAACAACTTAAATTAGGTAGAGATCATAGTTTTTTTAAAATTACTTATATCTAGACCAGTGTCCTGCAAACAGCAGGCACTCAATAGTACATAGTAAATGAAAATTTAAAATTCAAATTATAAAGAAAACTGGGATTTTTTTCTTACACAAAAGGATAATGATAATTATGAGCAGTTTTCAAATGAAAAATTCTACTTAGGTACCAATTACTGGCTACCGTAAACCCTTGAAGGATAAACTCTCTCAGAAAGGTAGTCTTCTCTCTTAGAATCAAAACCCTTACAAGGGTTAGGTCTGCTATAATCCAAAGACCAAAAACTTACCATCGTTAGGCATGGTGAGAATAGGGATTTGAGTAATAGAGCCGTTTCTACCTTCCACTCGACCAGCGCGTTCATATATTGTGGCTAAGTCTGTATACATGTAACCTGGGAAACCTCGTCGACCAGGAACCTCTTCCCTGGCCGCTGAAACCTGACAGTAAGCCAAGGAGCAGAATATCACACACCAGAATATGGAAAGCAAAGCTTTGTTTGAACATGACTAATTACAAAGCTGGAATATTATCTTTTTCATTTTAAATAGTCTCTAAGAGATCATTTAGAAAAATCTAGCAACACAAGTTCAAATTATTCTGCAACAAAAATGTTGAAAATTCGGACCAGAAGTTTTTTTGCTAAGATCGTGTTGCCATAACACAAATCTTCAAATAGCTTTCTAGAAAATGTGCTTGCAATTTTAAAAACCAAAGGAAGTTAATTTTAAAACTAAGAGAACTTATTAGTTCACAAGATTTATTTTATGCCAAGGACCTTGCCATATATATGTAAGCTAAGCCTGAAAAGGTCAAAGGGAAGGAAATCTATACCAGGAGTAATTTGACATACTTTACATTCATTATTTCATCCTACCGACAACACTATGAGGAAGGTAATGTTGTTAATGCCAATTTGTAGTTAGAACCAAAGGTCAGATAAATGATTTCCCAAACTCACAGAGCCAGGAGTCCATTCACTGCACAAAAAGTGAATAGTAACTAATGGTCTTTCTCTAAGAGACATCCATGCTAGAATATAGGCATACCTATTAATCTACAACCACTAAAAACCCAAAAGCATTAAGGTCAAGTTTAAGTACTACTTTGGCACCTTCAAAAGAGTGTGCTACAGCAGTGCCACTCAAAGTGTGGTCTGCAGACCAGCTTTTATCAATGTGCAATGAGAAAATATAAAAAATAAAATAAGCATTTAGAAAACTTTAATGGCAATTTAACAGAATAATGTTATGTCTGGTGACTCTAATAAAATAAATCTGGGCTTGTAAGTTATGTACTTTTTAATTTCACTTTTCTAAGTTCATTTTTATTATATTTTAGAAAAAGTATTGGTCTGTGATGGGTGCAGGGTGGGGGGAGTCCTCCACTAAAAAAACACGGTAGCAGAGAGAGATATGGTGATGGATCTCAGGGAATTTTAAGAAGCTTTTAACATGCTTAAAAAAGTAGCTTACTCAAAATTTCAGTAACTTACATTAGAACAAACACCCTAAACTTCTGGGTGATAACTCAAGAATCTCAATATTGTTCCTAAATAAACACTGAGTTTTCTGAAAGAAAAGGTTCTAAGAAGGGTGTTGCCAGAATATGGTCTTTATTTATTCAAATATTAATATTATAAAATTCTGAAAAAGGTTAAAAATTGACAGTGTACACAGAGGCAGAAGTTCCTGGGAGAGTAACTGAATAAATAGCCTGCATCATTTATCATTTACTCTCTTTTAGAATCAAGTCTTAATCCATGGAGACAGTGACAGTATGATAAATAGGTTGATAATTTAAATCTTCTAATCATTTCAACTAAAGTGACAGACGTTTTAAAAACATAATGAAAGAAAAATGAATACTTGCAAAGGGACAAGATAAGCCTGAAAATTAAGCCATTTTAATTAAGAAAAAAGTTACCTCTCGAAGTGCTTCAGCATAAGAACTCATATCTGTTAGGATAACCAATACATGTTTCTCACACTGATAGGCCAGAAATTCGGCTGTGGTTAGAGCCAAGCGAGGAGTGATAATTCGTTCAATACTGAAATGGAACATTAAGTACTATTGTCACTCAAACAAAAAGGCCAAAAACAAAAGAAAATGAGATTCTGGAAATAACGGTGCCGTCTCCTCTAAAAGTTTTAAATAAATTGAGGGGGGTAAAGCAATTATTACTTTAAAAATTCTTAAGTAAGGCAGTTACTTTATGTATTTACATAATAAGAACTACTTTCTTCTACAAAGTTGAATTGGTTATTTTATAAATGATTTCTCCGAACTATATAGTTCTCAAAACAGAG